ATCCCATCATGTCCCTCCATGATAATGGACTAAGCCTTTGAAATTGTAAGCTACCCAATTAAATGTTTTCCTTTATAAGAGTTGCTGTGGTCATGATGTGTTTTCATAGCAATGGAATCTCTAATTTAGACACATATATATGAGCAAACTAACCCAGTATGATCTTGTAGTAGCTTCTGTCTGTTAAACATGATGAGGGATAAGGGCCACTGTATATGTGAATATAAGGATAAATATTTAGAACATAGTTAGAAATGTGGAAAATGGTAGTACTAGGTTCTCCTCTAGGACCTATAACCTCTCTAACCATGGGTAGTTGGTTAAGTTTACAGAACCAGGCATGAATTTCTTTCTTAATTACTATGTGCAAAGTTTTTGTTAAAGCAAAAAGTTATGTGCAAGCTGACCTCAATTGTTACGATTTTGATACTCAACACAGAATACATAACAGTAGAGTCTACTGTTCTTTTGAATGTAAACAAATATTATAATCCCATATAATCTTTTAAGTCAGAGGCTTTTATTAAAGTTATGCATGCCACAGTGTATATGTGGAAGTCAGAGATCAACTTGTGGGAGTTCATTCTCTCTTTCTACCACGTGGATCCCAGATGTTGAACTACATCCTCAACTTTATCTTTATGTCCACTATCATCATGGTGGGAAGCATGGTGGAATCAGGCAGACATGGTGCTGGAGAGGTAGCTGAGAATTCTACATCTGATCCACAAGCAGCAAGAAGACACTGTGAGCCACTAGACCTGGATTGAGCTTCTGAGACCTCAAAGCCCTCCTCCAGTGAAGCACTTCCTCTACCAAAGCTCCGCCTACCCCAACGAACCATCACCTCCTAATAGTGCCAATCCCCATTGACCTATGGGGCCCTTTTTATTTGACCTCAAACTGAGGTTTCTTATTCTCAATCCTTAGGTTTCAGAAACTACTTGTTGGTATATTTCACATGCATGTTTACATACATACCTCCATGCATACACGCACATAATAACACAAACACAAACACATACCCTTGCTTTCATGTCTAAGCCTACGTCCTTCTTCTCCCACTTACGCGGACTCTTCTTCTGTCACTGACGATTAGTTAATTCCTCATCTTCCTCTAAGAACTGTCCTACGGGCCACCTTGCCTGGAAGCTTCCCTTGGTAATTTTTCTGGCCTGTCTTCTGCATGAGTAGGAACTTGGTCACTTTGTACAGCAGTTTCATGACACAGATGTTTTGAGATCAGCTAAAATGTTGGGAAAAGTGTAGGTGATTGACATAGAAATATGAATCAGCCTTCCATTAAAGACAATGTGTCCTTGAACAGCTCCCTGTACACTGTAGGAAGAAACTAAGCCTTTTAGCTTGAAGACTGTCTTAACCTTCTGGGACTCATGTGTCAAGGTGCTACAAACTACAAGGTGTGGGCAAAACTGTTCTTCCTCTAAATCCCACAGGGACAGACCTAGCATATCCTTGTGTCGTGATTTCTGGGCACTGCCTACAACTCTTTCTGTTCCTTGTAGCTCGGTTATTCTGATCCCTGCCTATGTTTTCATGTAACCTTCTCTTGTCAATATCCTCACATGACTTTCTCATAATGACATTTGATGTCATAATGACCCAATTTGATGTCATTTTAACTATGTATACTCACCAAGACCCTGGTTACAGACATGATCACAATCTGGGGTTCTGGATAGGCATGAAATTCTGTAGAACATTCTTCAACTCACTGTGAAAATGGAAGGTGTGGAGCTCCTGTGTCCTTCCTGTTTTGTGTGTACTGACCTGCCTCTCGGTGTCCTGGCTTTCCAGGATGGATAAATTTGCTAACTTTAAAATCCATATCCCTTGACATATTGTGGTGTCTTGAGGGCAGATCAACTTGGGTTTTATATTGTCATTTTTGTTTCACCTTTTGCTATAATAAAGAGTCAGGTTCCTGATTGGTACTCGGAAAATGCATGAAGGATTTGATTTTTGCAAGATGGGATAGTGAATTCTCCACACTGGAGGACACTGGGGTCCTTGAGGATGTAGCCACCATGTGGCTCCTTCTGTACTGGGGTAGACGTGGGTACTGAGTTCTGTCTGTTACCCATGTACCCTGTGTAGGCCTTTCATTCCTTTGCTCTGACCTCCCTTTCCCATAGAAATGAGAGGCTTGGGCTGCAGTTCCAGCCTCCATTTTCAGACTTGTTTTATCTTACAAATCACACTGGCCCCACTCAGGTAGTACAAGGGTTATTAAGAGTTGTGCATCCAGGACGGTTTAGGGCAGTCTCTCCGAAGGGCATCGCACACCTTCAGTTCAGCACCACGGACATTTCCTCCTTTAAACAAGTGTGCCTTCCTCTCCTGCTGGGGAGCTTTTCCCAGTCTGCCTGGCAGGCAGTCAGCATGGTGTGGAAATTCCTCTGGTGAAGATGGCCAGGGATGCCAGAGAGCAAGAATAAACACAGTCTTTTCTTTTGGACCCTTCATTTAGATCTGCTTTCGCTTTGAATCTCAATCAGCTGCGGCAGCGCTTTGGGTACCTTGCTGAGGAGGTGTTTGGCAAATCATGAAAGGGCAAGAGCTCCCCAGAGAGGATATTTTCCCTCATATCAGAGCCTTTCAAAACAGCGGGGGGGCGGGGGGAGTGCGCGCGGTGGTGAGCAGGCTTCCAATCAGGCCTTCTCCTGCAGAGAGGAAGAGGGGACAGAGTTCTCACCTTCCGGCTCTGTGAATTTTCAGTTTGGAGAAGGCCTGTGTCTTTCTGAAGGAAGATAGGATTTAGAAAGTCATACTTCTCTTCGGGAAGCCATCCATCACCACACCTGACATCCCAGGCCTGGTTTCCCTTCTTCTGTGTCCCCTCAGTCCCTCCTACTTGTTTTCATGATGGTATTTCTATACTAAGCTTTCAACAACCCTTTCCCCCAAAGCTATAGAGTTTCTGTTTGTCCATCAGGATCATTTTCCACGCGCCTCGGTCTCAATTTCTCACGAAGAAATCGTGGGACTGTGTCTGGGACGAAGGTAGATTATTGGGCAGATGATCTCAGGAAGCATACCCCAGGGAGAGGAGATTTGAGGAGTAAGGGTGGAGAGGGCAGCGAGAATCGTGTGCTAACGTGTGCGCCCAGGCAAACCTCTGCAGGTAAGGGGCAGGGGCATGATGTGTATCTTTGGTATACACCCTTGGATTTGGGGGTTGACTTTTGGGACATTACACGTTCTGCCTGTTGGGTTATTTTACATAATACCCAGATGGATAACCCTGACATGGTCAGGAAATGTCCTGCTCCTGAGAAGCAGGGGGAGAAACGTTCCTTTACAGTGTAGGTGGGCTCACGAGGTAAGCTGAGGAAACTCCGAGTCAGGCTGTCCGTACTGCTCACCCACTTGTCCTCCCGACATGTTTGCCTGTGTGAGCTGTATTAAGGGCTCCTTGTTGTCTTTCTGGCTGGCTTTCTCTGGCCTCCATTGAAAAGAACATGCAGAGAAAAACAGAAGATGTTTGAAGAGAGGCACTGGGTAATTCATCTCCCTGGTTGTTTCTCTGCCATGGACTGCTGTGTCCCTCTGTCACCAGCCATTTTCCTTCACGTTGTCCTTTCCACACTGCTGTCTTTCTCTGAGAACTGGCATCTTCTCCCTCAGACCATCCGACTGAAGAGATGTGATACCTCCCATCTTTCCCCAGGACCAGGCTACTGTATCATACTCCCATGCTTCCCTGTAAATAGGTGCATTTATAAGTAGGGTCTTTAGTTCCCTGAAGTGCTTGCCTGCGTTAGTTACTTTCCCTATGGCTCTGACAAGAAGGACACATGGGAGAAAGAATCTATGTGGTCCATGATATGTGGGGATACAGCACAGTATCAGGAAAGACAGTATCAGGGATGGCTTGTCCCTAATGTGAGCTTCTTGTAGCTTGGCAGATCAGGAAGTAGGGAGAGGGCTGCTGTCACTGTCTGGGATTCCAGACCAAGGGATGATACCACCATCTTGCAGGGCAGGTCTTACCTTCTCAGCCAATCCTCTTTGGAAACAACCCCACCAACTAACTCAATGGCTTGCCTCACTAATGCCCTAGAGAGTTATTTATTCAATCAAGATGGCAACAAAAACCATGCTCATATACAGTGTTTGTCCTATTCTTTGTTCCAGGACTGGAGCCTTGTCTTAGTCACTTGACCTGGAGTGGTTCATTCCTATTATTATCTCTGGTTTACCAAGAAGGAAAAGGGATACTTACAGGGAGTTTCTCTGATAGCCTTGGTTCTCAATTGATGGCTACATGACACTACAGAATTCTCTTGGTTGAATTTTGGCTTCTCTCTTCATATCATTTCATCCTACCCAAAAGATGTTTTCCAAAGCCTTTTTTGTTGTTGTTGACAGACCATTATGGAGCCGTAGCCTAGACTGGAGAATTGGCATCATTCTCCCAGCATCTCATGGTATGTTCAGAATGCATTTCTCTTCCTCAACTCTGTCTCCAAAACTGATTCCATCAAGATAGCTCTGGTACCTGCTTAATGGGGGATCTTTAAAACTACAACTTCTTTCAATATTACTTCTGCTAGTTCTTCTGAGAATACATTCTCTCCATGCAATGTATTTTGATCACATTCACCCTGTCTACCTCCCAGACTCACCCATGTCTCCCTATCAACTAATGTCATGTCCTCTCTTTGTTAAAATCCTGGAGGGTGGTTCTTCTAAAACTTAACTTAAAGTACTATGCATTAGTATTCCCTAGTGTATTCTAACTAACAATCAGATGAGAGAGAGAGAGCATGTGCAAGAGAGAGGGAGAGAGAGAGAAAGGGAGACAGAGAGAGAGAGAGAGAGAGAGAGAGAGAGAGAGAGAGAGAGAGAGAGTGAGAGAGTTTATTCTGTGGTCTAAAAGCTTAGGAAGAGGCGATGATTTTCACTTAATAGCTTATTTAACAGAGTGCCCAGCCTTAAGGTCCCTGTAAAATACTGCTTGGAATTCACTAAAGAAAAACAAATCACCAAAGTTTATTCACTTAAAGAAGTTAAAGACAACATCAACAGAGAAATAGAGGCACAAGAGTGTTTTTCAGAGACCCCAGATCAAAAATAACACAGTGCAGAATGTTAAGGTTCACCATGTCCCCTCCCCTTCCTACTGTGGGTCCTGCTCCACAGGTGTGGGGCTTCACTCAAGGCGTCATGAGAAGTGGGTCTGAGCCGTGTTTGAGTGGAGCTTTCAGTGAAATGCTTGGCCTGGCTTCATGTTTTGTTCTTTGGTCTTACAGATGAGTGTGTCCTGCATGAGGACTGCAAGGCCCAGAATGAGAAAACACTCAGAGCAGAATGAACAGAGCCAAAGTAGCCATTCCCAAACCACATCTGTTATCATGTGACGAGATACAGGAAGCCACGTCTGTAGTGGGCAGCCAAGACTGTCGCTCAGCAAATGAGTCAGCGATGTAGTGTAGGTACCTCACCTTTTAACAAGGAAACAGCAAGGACTGTGCTTCTGAAGTAGGTATCAAATGGTTTTGCTTCGCAGACACCCTGCCATTGATGTGTGTGTGTGTGTGTGTGTGTGTGTGTGTGTGTGTGTGTGTGTGTGTGTGTGAACTGCTACTCAAATTAGTGTCCTAAATACTCAGGTTTTTACCCTGAGTGGAAAAAAATAACATCTGCTTATTTACCACAAAGAAGATTTTGTACATTGTCCTGCCTTTCTTAACGTTTTTATTTCTGTCAGTGAGTGACAATTAGGAGATCTAGAGAGTGTACGTGTCTTATCCAAGGCTCTGAAATTCTAACAAACTCTGCCTTCCTCTCCTGAGCTCAAGTAGCAGTCAGCAGCCACGGGGGATGGGATGCCAACAAACACTTCCTGTAACAAGCTTTCCTCTCCACTATAAATAAAAATCACACAATTGGGCATGCCTGTGTATGCATATTACTTATTTATGAGTCATATGCATATTCTAGTATATGATGTATAATATAAAATATGTGCAAAAACACCCATTTTAAAAGGCAGAGATGAAAAGATTGTTAGACAAGTCCTAAGGGATCTTCAAGCCACATTGAGATAGACTGCCTCTGTGGGCTTTGAGCACCACATTCTCCAGAGGCTTTTGGACCACAGGGAGGGGCCTCCGCTCCCCCAGAGCACTTGAGACCGGCATTTCTTTCTCTGACTCAGACTTCTTTCTACCATGTCTATTTAAGCACACCTCCCCCACAAAGAACAGAGTCTCATTCATGTCCAGGTTCCCCGGGCTTGGAGACAAGTACACAGCACAGAGCTGTCTCTACAGATGCTTCTGAAACAACGGCATTATGAAACCGTGATGCTGTCACTGCAGTGACTGTGGCCATGGCTCCAGAATTTAAAGGAAAGGATTCCAGAGACGTCTTTCTTGAGTTACGTAAGGCTCACAAGCTTTGGTTGGAGATTCAATTTTATCCACTCACCAACCCCCAGGAAAGACTGGGTTATGCAGTTTGATAAGCAAAACATCTAAATTGTGTTGAGGATTTGCATGTGCTGGACATTGCACTATCCGGTGCCATTTCTTCAATCTCACTGTAAGAAAATAAAAGAAACGTGGGCTGAGACACACTAAGGACTTTTTCCAGGGTCACAACTACCAGGATTCATGGATTGCTTTTATTATCAGCACCGCGCTCCTGTATAAGCTACCCATCAATGCTTAACAATTTATATTTGTAGAAAGATGTCTCGGTCCTGATCTCATACTACTTTGAAGCATATCTCCATCATTGGGTCTTCTAGAATGTGGGAGAGACAAGGAGCTGATGGGGCTACAGGATCCTCTACGCTGTCACCATAAAGTGTCCAGAGCTCTGGGATTTGGCTTTAATGTCCCCCAACCCTAGATACTCTGCTTGGTCAGAATTAGAAATCGTACCCAACTCCCTGGCTGTGGTATTGCTCATCATTATTATTTCAAGAAAATGGCCCAAATTCTGTCCCACTATTGCTCTTGGGGACAGGGCTCTCAGAGAGACACTCAAGCGGAAGCTGACCTTTAGCTGGCATCCTCCAACTGTGACCCAATCAAGCATAATGAGTTTAGAACGAACGGACTGAGAATTGTTTCTTCCCTGCCCTCCCTTTTCTCCCAGCTTTTATCGGCATTTCAGCAGTGGGCTGTTTTTCCTTCTGCACTTATTTATATTTAGCCTGAGCGTCCTGTTAATTACAGAGCAGTTACAGGAGAATTAGGGACACTATATATAAATTTGCCACTTATGCAAATCGTATGGAGAGAACAAAGAAAAATTAGCTTAATTAGCGTAATTGCCAAAAAAAAGCGGGAGGCGAGGCAAGCGCGGCTCTAATCACAGAAGAGGCGGAGGAAGTCTCAAGGAAACCGTGACCCGAATCAGCACAGAGTTGAGGGCTCTGACCTTTCGTGATTTCCAGACCTTGCTGAGACACCGGGAATTTTTTTTGAAACCATGGCGGGCGGGGGGTGGGTACACTGTGAGTTCTCACTGTGAAAACAGCACTCGGGTATTCAAGCAATGAAATAAAATGCTTGGATTCATAAAGAAGTTGTAGATACATATGTGTGCATGCTGAGGTCGTTGTGGACTTCCAGCGTCGTCTCCCAAGACTGCTCGCACCTGGCACCTAGTAAGGGCTAATGGCTGCTTCCAGGCTGGGGACATGAAAGTGGGTAAGACGCCATCGGTGACTTCGTGGTGCCAGTGAAAGAGGGAAATAAAGATGCCAGGCTGCAGTGTAGCAGTGTATGTGGCTCGGTATGAAAAGAGCCTTGCTCTGCAATGCCATGGCCCTGAGCTCAACCCTAGAACCACATAAAAAGCCAGGAATGGGGTGTACACTTGTAAGCCCAGCACTGGGGAGGTCGAGACAGGCAGAGTCCTGAGACTCACTAGCCAGCCAGCCTAGCTGCTTAGATGAAAAACTATCTGTAAAAAGTGGATGACATGTGTCCACACACGCCAGAAAACAGAGAAAGAGAGGGAGGGGGAGAAGGGAAAAGGAGAGAGGAAGAGAAAGAGAACACGTCCACAAGCAAGTACCGTGTTGGCTGACCACACGGGCTAGACTTTGCTGGAAAGCAAGCAAGACTTATGTGTGGAAATATGGGGGGTAAATTAAACTCTCAGTTTCCAATCACTGTATTATTGTAGTCTAGTGAAAAGGAAGGGAATTGGGGGTTCAGTTTCTCCCTACTAGTGTGTCAGCCATAAGAAAAGCTAAGACAAAGCTGGATGCAATGAGGAACTTAGATTTCCCACACCTAACCCTATGCTCCTGACTGAGGTGGTGATGTCTGGCTATCTAGCCAGGGTAATGCTTGCTGTAGGCCATAACCTGGAAGAGATGATTATGGAGAGACAACCTATTTCCTATAGTACATTGAGATCCTAACTGGGAACTGCATTTTTTATAGAAGGCATATTACACGAGCAGATCTAGTGACTAGCACAGTGCCTGGTATAGTATACTTGCTCAGCAAAAGCCAGAGAAGTAATGGATGAAGGACTCTCACCTTCAGAGTCGTCCTAGAAATCTTAAGAATGTAAAAGACATTGGGGAGAACTGGAAGTGCTTTGCTGTCTGTTCTTCATTCCTTCTGACCCTTTCTCTACATCTTCTCCCCCCCCTCTCTCTTTTCTGCTTCCCTCCCTCCTTTTCTATTCCCCTCTCCTCTTTTTCTTCCTTCCTCCCCCTTCTTTCTATTTGCTGACTTTGCGCTCGTTCCCTCTGGCTTCCTGTTCAGTGTTTCAATTCAGACAAAAGCCACAGGTCTTTGTCTCTGCAGAGGTCATGACACCTGGGGTTTCTTTAGCTATGGGTAGACCCCTGGTCAGAGGCCCTTCCCTAGGCAAGATCAGAACAGCCATCAAAGCACAGTATCTCTCTCAGGATACAACAGCATCCAGAAAACTTCGCAATGGCTCAGATATGTTAGACTAATGGTTCTACATATACAAGTCCTATATTTCCTAAAGCAACAGAATTTTGCCTTTTATAAATGCTACCACAAACTTAAACCACCACACGAGGAATGGGCAGAGGGCCTAGGGTGTTTGGTCTAGCGAGAAGAAGCTGTGGTGACATTGAGGGGAAGAGGCTGGTGTCTGAGAAGATGGGCACTTGCAATGGGCAGAAGCTAGGATCCACAGGAAAAGCAGGAGAGGCACTTCTGTTGTTAAATGAGAGTCATATATCTTAATGGTAATATTAATAGTTGTCATTAATGACTGGGTACTTGCAGAGTGTGTTTGAACCTAATGATTGAGTTCCTCTGGCAACAGTGATTGACACCGGTTGGTATATTACATTATCATGGAATGTGGTGAATCATAAACTGGTCAACTGCATTGAGTGGAGACTTGAGAGGACAGTGGCTTAGAGGCTGAGAAGGATGAGGGGTCTGAATGGGCTTTATAGAACAGGGGAGTTCAGAGACAGGAGAGAAAACAGTGATTTGCTCTCTCTCTCTCTCTCTCTCTCTCTCTCTCTCTCTCTCTCTCTCTCTCTCTGTGTGTGTGTGTGTGTGTGTGTATCTGTGTGTCTGTATTGGGTACATATTTGGAGAGGGGTATGAAAATCATTTGGTAATTGAAACATTAAGAAAACATAATGAAACAAAAGAAACGCTTTTACACATTCTACTGTGGGGATGTACTGTATGCTGTGAATATGTGTTTCTCTTATTGGTTGATGACTAAATGCTGATTGGCCAGTATCCGGGCAGGAAATATATGCGGGGATACCAGACTAGGAGAATTCTTGGAGGAGGAAGACAGAGAGGAACCGTCTGAGAGATGCCATGCAGCTACCGGGAAGATACGACACCGAGCATTCTCCAGTAAGAAAAGGTCATGTAGAAATACATAGATTAATAGTTGTGTGTTAATAATTAAGACAGAGCTAGCCTGTAAGAAGCCTAAGCCATCGCCCAAACAGTTTACAGTTAATATATGCCTCCGTGTGCTTATTTGGGGCTAAAGGCTGTGGGAACAGAAACCTCTGTCTACAATTCTAGGATTCAGAGTAGATACAAATCATTAGCAATCCTACAAACTGGAGGAATTACCACCTATGAGGGTGACACACATGGTTGAAGGGATTGTTTAAAGAAGACTGTTTTAGGCTTCCAAAATATTAGTATGAGTCATGAGTCTTAGTCACATAGCAGGTTGGCCAAGACTATTCTCCAATCAACTTGTAAAATCGTATGACAGGTCAGCATTGTACAAATACCAATTCAAAGAATGTTGAGATGGAACCAAGAAGAGGTACAGCAAACAAGAGATTTAACACAGAAATGGAAGCTAGCCTGAGAAGGCTAGCCATCATCCTCAGGACAATTTGAAAACGCATATTGATTATCTAGTGCACCCTAGACACATGTCAGGACACTGAGGATCCTTCACTAAACAGGTACATAAAAGTTCCTGTCCACATGGAGTGTGCCTTCTCTTGGAAGGGACAGATGATAATAAACAGGACAAAGAGGACTAATGGATAGTGTGTGTGATCAAAACCATGGGTTAAAATTGAGCCAGGGAGGGTTGGAGGGTAACGTGCTGAATTCATCTCTTTGTCATGGGGAGAGAGCTCCACAGAGAAGACCAGAAGGATAGGATCCAGTACTGAGCATATGTGGGCCAAGGAAGGGAAAGCAAATCAGCTTACTAAAATGGACAGAATTTTTTGGGGAAGGCTCTGAAAAGAGTCCCCACAAAGCAAACTGTCTGCTGTCTAGATTGGAAAGGGGGCACCCTGAGGCCCTGAGATCTTTCTCATCCAATCACAGTAAGACCAAATCACTGGAGGGTTTCAAGCACTAGGATGCTAAGATTGATTTATGTGTTGAGGTACTTCTCTTTTTAATCTCCTTGACACTGATGGAAAGGAGGAAAAAAAGGAGAAACAGGACATAATAAGCAAAAGGCTCTTAGATTAATATAATCTACATAAAATATGTCGATGGATCATATTAGAGTGTAAATAGGGAGGTGGGAAGAATTGGTTGGGTTCCAGATATGATTTGAATGAATCGACATGAATGCACAAGGATACTAAATTCCAGAGATATGAATGGAGTATTTTCACATAACATGGGGAACACCCTCCTGCAGACATTAAATTTCCTCTATATTACTTACCATACTCAGTATAATGGACTATAACTATAGTATTGTCTTATTCAGAAAATACTGAAAAGAAAAATGGTCTACACACATACAGTATAAAGACATGGTTTTAAAATATGTTTTTAACCTACAGTTAATAGATAGACTACTTGGATACTGAACCCAAAGATCTGAAGGGCCAATTATAAAGGCAAAACCAATTTCTGTCAAGATGATTTGAAATGTAAGACAAGGAAAGGAACTAAGGAACTTGGGGCTTTTGACTGGGAACCCGAAGAATAAAGCTCCTTTACATGAGAAACAAGCTTTCCAGAGACGCAGACTTGAGGGGAAATGTAGTAAGTTGGGTTTTGGGTGACTTTGGGATCGAGACAGTGGTAGACGTTAAAGATATTTTAAGCAAGGATGAAGTGGGAATTT